AGTTAGTTAGTGAGTTAGTTAGTGAGTTAGTTAAATACTCTTGGTGACTGTAGTACACTGTACATGCTCTACACTGACCCATTAAATAATAATACTGCAGTTCAAGTACCTTTACCTGAACCTCAACATATGCATTTTTTAATGTCAGCGGCCGGAGTGTGAGGTTTGACTGGTGCCTGGCTGAGGTCAGGCTGCTGCATAATTAATCTGACGACTCGGTGGTGATGATGATGATGATGATGATGATGATGATGATGACGATGATGATGATGATGATGATGATGATGATGATGATGATGATGATGATGATGATGATGATGATGATGAACTCGGTGGTGATGATGATGATGATGATGATGATGATGATGATGATGACGATGATGATGATGATGATGTGTGTGTGTTAGGCTGGATTTACCCAAACACCCAGCTGATGTTTTATAGATGATCCAAGACAGAACAGCTGCTGGTCTTTATTTCACCAACACACCCTCACTGCTCATGTTCCTTCAGTACTTCACTATACAGTACTTCACTGTACAGTACTTTACTGTACAGTACTTCACTATACAGTACTGCATCAGTGGAGTGAAGTGAGGAAGTATATGAAGAAGTGAAGAGGATGCATCATCATCTTTTGGTTTCTAATCTACTTTACACTGTATAGTACTTCACTGTACAGTACTGCATCAGTGGAGCGAAGTCATCATCATCTTTTGGTTTCTAATCTACTTTCTCAGCTCTAGCCCTTTTCTGCTAACTTACCTTCCAGCATTTCTGCACAAACATTATGTTATTTGTTAGGGAGCGTATACAAATTAGACCAAACGTACCAGACATAACGTTGAGTCCATACGTCATCACTCTGGTCTTTTCTCTTCCCGTGTCCACAGCTCCCAGATCCATCTACAGCACAGACAGCGGTGAGTGTCTGTTTCATCTGAACTTTTTTTTTTTATTTAACATTATCTCCAAACATTCAGCTTCTGTAACTGAAATCACTCACTGCACAGACAGCGGCTGTAATAACGCAAACACACAGACAGAAGACAGATGGCGCTGCAGCTTAACTAAGACTCCGTTTATTGCATTTTAAAGCATCTCTTTAGTCACAGCTCAGATCCTTGATGTGAGTCTATTAAACATCCGTTCTCAAATAATAGTCAAATATTCCACTTAAACGTTTGTTTTATTGTTCAAAGTGATATAATATACTGTATTTATAATATAATATAAACCTCTGAACAAATCAGTAAGAAAATCAGCTCAAAGGAAGGAGCGAGGTTGAAACTTTAAATAGTTGCTGTGACTCTGGTGCCCTCTGCTGTCTCTTTTTCTCTACTGCACACCTATGTCATTGGCAACAGTTGCTGTACGGAGCGGCCATAGATGAAACTAAAAGGATAATAACACATTCAAACTTTAATTTAGAAGCAACATTTAATACATGTAAGCAGTTTTAGCAATTTTTTTTACCACATATAATTTAATAAAGTCTTATCCTCACACAGTAAAGATACTGTAACACTTAAACCAGGGTTGGTGTTACTACGTGTTAGCTTTATATACATTAAAAATTGTGTGTTACAAGTACCTAAAGGTTAGCAATAAATACGACTAAATGTTAAGAGTTGGCCCAAAAACAGCCAAAACATTTTTGTTAACAAAATCCTGACTGTTTGTGCTGATTTGTTTATCTTTATTTATTCCAGACTTATTCACTGCCAAATCAGCCTCTTTACCAGGCTATGGTAGAAATGGACTGAACAAGGTCAGTGAGCGCCACCTTGTGTTTGGGAAGTGTGTTCTGCAGATGTTATGTTTTCTAGTGCCTTTTGTGAGCCACAAAACAATATTTTACATTATCCAACTCCAACGACACACATTACTCACAATTTAAAAACACGTGTCGGTCACAGCACAGAACTGACATCATTTCTAGGTTCTGTCTGTCTGTTGTTGGCCCCGCATTACATAAATACCTCACCTGCTGTTTCTGTGTCCCTGCAGCCGGCAGATTATTTCCAGTGTGACAGTGGGAACCCAGCCAAGTGGCAGATCAAAGGTCAGTTGTTAGAAGCTAATTCTTTCATGATTTAAATTCACGTCATGTTGCATTTTGGCTCTCTGATGTCTGGCTGAAACGTCTGGCTGAAAAAGCAGTGGGTGAAACATTCTTTGTTATCTTTTTTTTCTTCTTCTTCTTCTTCTTTGCAGAATACAAGGTAAGACGTTCCTGCCAAAGATACTGAGCTGTGTCAGAGCCAAGAATGAAAGGTCTGGATCAGTGAAAGTCAGTACAGCAACCACCTAGAGTGAGAGAGGGTTCATAACAGTGACTCCCTCACTGGAGGAGGAGGGTGATCTGTTTACTAAACATAAAAAAATACTAACAAATTACTTTCAGTGTCTGTAAAGGACTTTGGAGTTTAATTATTTTTCTGAAATCTGTGTGGATTTCTAAAATTTTCTCTGCAAACTTTTCCATTTGCACGATAATAGCAGCTTTAGAAAAAAGGTATTATGGGTAATTAATTTTGAATGAAGTTGACAGGAGTACCATATTAACCATATGTTGATATAATCTTCTTCTCTCTGTCTTTGTCAGATCTACCCATACGAAGCTCTGATGGTGTCGGTCAGAGGACAGCAGCGTCTCCCCAGTGATGTGGACAGAGCCAGACTGGAGGTGAGCTGCTACACAGCCAGGTCTTCAAGAGAAGGAAAATGTTTTTTATTGATTCTTTTTGTCATTCTCAGTACGGTATTTTACTTTCTTTAATAGTATGAGCATACATGCAGTACCATGGTAGTCCACAAGGGGCAGACTTTAACAAATAAATCGAGTACAGTTTAATTTTTATCTTAAGACTGAAAGATATACTTTTTTTAAAACATTTTTTTCCCTCTCCTAAATGTTTTTTTTAATAGATTTCTTCAGATTTTTTGACAATTTTGTCCTGACACTTCTGTTTTCATAGCGTCACCTCTCACCAGAGGAGTTCTACAGAGTCTTTGGCATGTCCATGTCCTCATTTGACCGACTCGCTCAGTGGAAGAAGAACGAACTGAAGAAGCAGGTCCGGCTCTTTTAAAAAAAATAATACAAAAATAAAACTGCTGTCACTGTGCAGGGTGTTTCCTGGATCATGGTCTTTGGTTTTAATGGAGAACAAACGGGTTGATATTGATCATTTTTTCTTTTATTTTTTTTAAATGGGGTTTTGCTCCCTTGAAGTGTCAAGAGTTGAAGTAACAGAGCACTTCTGTTTAGTTTTAGTCCTTTAAATGGTTTGAGATGGTACAACAAATGCAAAGACGAGCCAAGTGGCTCATCCACCAGCAGAGGTCAGTGTTCTGCCGTGATAGACAACAGTATGCACCACGTGGAGAACCAGCTGTTTTGAAAGTGAAGCACGTCGTTGTGTGAATATGTTGTGTGTCAGAGAGAGTGGCAGGTTGTCGGAGTGGAACGTAAACACAGAGGTCAGCGGAGATGAGGCCTGGTCATAACTAACTGAATGTCAACAATGTTGTTTTATGATATATTATAACTGAGAACCAAATGTTTTTTTCCTTCTCTTGACTGGCATGTGTTGGATATTTGAAGCCATATTAGTGTCTAATTTCACAGACTAAAGCAGACTGTGCTGTTCACTGACTTGGTGTGATTGTGAGGCTTATTAATGCAGATGAGATCATACATGTCATTTTGGTTTTTCCCTCTGTTTTTTCACCAGTTCCCTAAAGAAAATAGCTGCTGGATTAAAATCAGACTGATCCTGTTTGTGTCTTTGTCTATATTTTATCTATATTCAGTAATATTCTGAGAACAGAAATATAAGATTTTTTTAGGTTAGATCAATGGTGCGGTCACCTTTTAGTTTTGCAATCACTACATGACATTTATTAAAATTGTGTAAAGACTCAGCAACAAAAGTACTGCAGTTAAAGTAGTAGCTGTCACAAATTACTTACTTTTTTGTTCAAAAGAAAAACAAAATTTGATTTTGTTTGTTGCCTCAAGGCAAGAATGAAAAATAATAATATTCAAAATAAACACGATGATAGTCTGTAAATAAAGGTGTAGAATATATTATAAAATATATAATAAAACATACTCTTTAATAGTATTTCTACCTTAAATATAATATTTAATTTTGGCAAATTAATATAAACTATATAGGTGGAATATTAAAAAAAAAACTCGATAATTGGTCGTGAACACACCGGCGCTAGGACCCAGTGGATAACAACCCGGGCGTCTGCTTCCATTGACTCCAATAATACTGGAGTGTAGCGGCCGCACTGACTCATTGGTCCGCTCAGAGGCTGACAGAGCCACGCTGTGTCCGTGCCCGAAGATCCGCCTCACTTGTTCACTCACTTTTAAAAGAAAATACCACAGGATTATTAAGTTGTCTCACATTTTCCAGAAAACACACGACTATAGCCTAGAGAACCACAACAAACATGGAGTCTAAACGTCAGAGCGGTGAGTAAAGTGAATGTTGTAAAATGTTGTCTGTGATGACATCACTGGGCTCCGAATTGTGTGGACAAAACATTATTGTTTGGTGTTTCGTATTAGAATTTATATTAAACGAATAACAGGGTTTTGACTGAAACGTTAAATGGTTTATCACACTAAAGTAAAATGACTGCGCGATGAACTACTTTTTAAGACGTCAAACGTTTTATGAATCATAAAAAGGAATTGTAACGGCTAAATAACAGACAGTAATTCGTTTATGGGTTATATTTTATATAGTAAATTATATTCTAGCGTTTAAAAAATGCAGTTTGTACTCGTTCCTTTACTTAATGTGTATTTTCAAACTTAAACGGGAGCGGTAGTAAAAAAAAATATAACCGTCTGGTGATTTTAAACACTGCTGGAGTAACGGGAGAGTGACGTCACACACCTACGCGCCGCTTAGCGGCTCTGTGATTGGCTGCCGAGCCGGAGGTGTCCTCGTGCGCACAGGTAGTGATGTAATGTGATAGCAACAGAGAAATGCCCTGTTGGAAGCTGCTCTGCTGGAGCTGCTGCCGCGGCGGGGGGGGGGAGCAAGGGAAGAAAAGTGAAGGAAAGGCATTCATTCGTCACATGACCTGCAGGTATTTGCTCCTGAAGGCCACTACTTGGACCAAGCTCGGTGTAAAACAACACAGTTAATTGAAAGGTTTCCTGAAATAGAAGAAAGTTAGTAACTAATCTCAATAAAACGGACTTGGTCCAAGATAGAAATGTTTTATTTCCCCTTAAAAGTTCTCACGAAAGTGCCAGTAAAGAAAAAAAAAAAAACAACAATAAAATAATTATAGGTGTTATAGGATTACATGTTATATCATTGTTAGTTTAAAAAAATCCTAAATTAATTATTTAATATTAATTGTGGGAATTTTAATAATTATGTATTAATACTGTAAATGCAATACAGTTGGAGTAGCTCAAAATGAGGCAAAAATAGTCACAAATTAGCCAAAATTTAACTTAGTTATCACAGGAACATCTTACATATCTCAGACTCTAAACCAAATACAGCATAGCTTTTAACAAAATATGACAAACATGATGAATATTTAAAACGTATCAAAAGTATTGTTAAAACATTTAATTTAGTAAATATTTATCTAAAAGTTGCAGCAAAATTAAAAAATAAAAGTGGGGAAATGTGTGATAATGTGACCCAATTACAGTTCCTTTCCAGTCTTACTTGGACTGTCCATAAGATAAAGATAAACTGCGAACCTATTCATGCCATTGAAATTTGCTCTTGTTTCCATCAAGTATAAATCATTATAATTTAGACCACACATTAAATACTCCCTAGATAAAATGTTAATAATGATAACAATAATGTTGATAATCCTAACATGTGTTACATCTGTCAGGGATGAACTGGTACAGGGCCACTCTATAGTGTGGTAGAGTATATGGAACTGTGAACAATAGCAGGAAAACCACATATGGAAGTGATGATATTAACAATGTGACAACCTGCCATATACTATGTCTACACATTATGTAGATAATGATGTATTAAACAAAAGCAGCTCAGTGATTTGTGACCCAACTCTGGAATGTAGAGAAAACGTATGATCGTTGTGGTAAAGATAGAACCCAAGGATAAAGTCATTATTACAGAGTGAAGTTAATGAAGTCAGAGCTGTATGATCTGAAGTACAGTCGACCAGAGGCCGAACTCTTCATCTGGACTCCCACACAGGAACATCTCTCTCTCTCTCTCTCTCATGTGAAACAATCCGTGACCTTGAACACGGCTCGGTTACATTTCCTCTTTCCTTTTCCTACTCATCTGACACTGACTCCCTCCTTCCTCCCTTCTTTCTCAGATTCCATGTTTTTCACGCGACAGAAATACCCAAACCTGCTTCTCTGCACGTGTCACACTTGTTTTTGACTGTTTTTGTCCAACCCTGCTCACAAACAGGAAAAACACACTAGCACGGTTTGTCCAGATACACAACATTTCTTTCACCTTCCTGTCCAAGCATGTGTGTGAGTCACAGACAGTGATGACAGTTTACAGCGGTCTGGACTCAGACGCCTCGTCCACATGGTCCTTCTCTAGGGGAAAAAAAGAGGAGAATTCCTCTGTGTTACTGAGTTTTTCTTTCAACTATTTTACTACCACTGTTTGAGGTTTCTCAAATTCTTTTGTCAGTCTGAGAGCGATGTGAGTGCTGTGCAGTGTGCACTGCATGATGGGTATTTCCACTATAATAGTTATTTATCTGTCTTTAGGCTGAGCTAACATTCTTGGGGCTGCGATCTCATTATAGCAGTGCGACACAGACGGCCATTGTGATGGTGTAATTTTATTCTTTGAGCTCCCTGAAAATAAATAGGCATATTTTCCTGTCTACAAGTTGAAGGTGGCTTTGTTTTCACGTTTCCTGCTGGTGTTGTTGACTGTTGTTTTCCACTGTCTTATCTTCGCTGTTGACGACTGTAGCAAAAAACAGCATAACAATGGACTGTTGACTGTTCAGTAGATTAACAGTTTTTGTCAACAGTGACATTCTGCTATGGTACTTGGGGTGTGAGAAAATATCGATACATTGAAATATCGTGATATTTTGTTTTTACAATACCCTATTGGATATGAAATTCTTCAGCAGTCTAATACTCATAATCTGACGTTAAGATGTAACAGCATTGTGTGTTTATTATTCTGACAAAACACGATATATCGTCGTGCCTGTAGTATTGCAGTATATCACAATATATCGTATCCTGATACGTGTCATATCGCCAGATTCTTGTCCAATCACAGCCCTAGTACACAGGAGCAGTAGTGTGTACTGCACACGGCTCCGTCCACTTCCTACTGTATATACAGTAAATGGATAAATGGACACAGTCAGCGCAGACTATATGTCAACGGGGCTAATGCTAAGTCACTGCTAACAGTGTCTGCCTGGTTCAGTTCAGTGTCAACAAACACTGACCGTATCAGGGGTCTCCTTGATTCTGCCCTGTAGCCTCACTATTTGAGGAAAGTGATAAGACACTGAAAGAATTTTTCCTCCAGCTGTTTCTGTTTTCCATCCTGGTGCTGTTGGGACGGGACTTTTTACACTGGGAGCTCCAGACGAGTGCTGACACTGTCGGCCGTTGTCACTGAAATATGAATGAGGCTGATGTTGGATTTTCTCTGAAGCAGACTTTTGTTGGAGAGGGAGCTGCTGAGGCCACCACAACTTGACCCCTGACCTCTGATTATAGACAATGGGTTTCTGGAGAAGGGATGGAGAGAGGCTGAAGTGAAGAAGAGGAGTTGAAAGGCAAGGATGAGAAATGAAGGAGGGATCTGAAGAGGAGTGGAGGTTAGCATGTGGGATCTTGAGGGAGCTCACCCTCTGGGAGTGTGGGGGAGGCAGGAAAAAAAAATATGCTTTAATGCAAAATGAACATTCCGTACATTTGTTAGAATGAAATATAATTACTGTGAAAACGGCCATGAAACCCTGGTTTGTGTGAGAAGTCGTAGCTTCTGACGTTACAGATAACATCAACAGGAGAATCAATCGAGTGCTCCACTTACACGTCCTGAAATAAACTGGGAGAGATGTTTCGGATGGGTGAGGCAGATGAAGGAGGAGGTCGGCCTTGGCTCGGTGTGGTGACTGATGGCTGAGATATTTTATGGAAGGGAGGGTAAGCCTCAGATTAGCAGGAGTAGATCCTTTTTTTTTTTTTTTCCCTTTTCGTCCCCCTGCTGCCAATAAGCCTGCTGTGAGATAAACAGCAGCAGTGAAGCTGCGGTTGTTTTTGCTCCGAGCTGCGACTAAATCAGTTGAAATGGGAGTCGCATGGCTCTGGTCTCATGACTGACCTCCTTCTGAGAGCGTGTCCTTTAGAAAAACACAGAAATGTACTTTTTTTGTTGTTGTTCTTAAAGCAACACAAACACACGACATGCTGCACATTCTCTGTGGCTCCTGACCAGATGTCGGAGAAGGACCGACAAATTAATAGTTTCTGTGAAAATCTCGGAGAATCATGGGGGGAAAAAAACAGGATTAGAAGAGACACCCGAGCTGTGTGTGTGTGTGTGTGTGTGTGTGTGTGTGTGTGTGGAACAGTGGGTTACAGTGTTCCCTCTGAGGGTGAGGTTGACCACAGGCCCACAGAACAGCTGATACTCAGCTTCTGATGAGTGGATGAGAGAGGTAGAGAGAGAGAGAGAGAAAGAGAGATGGAAAACACATTAATGATGTAAATTACAATTTCAAAAGAACAAAAATTAAAGGGACCAGAGGCCAAACATCAACTGTTAACTACTGCTGTTTCAGAGAGGAATTTACAAGTGGATGTTCTTCAACTAATGTGAACTTAAGACGGGGATTTCTGGAAACATTTGATCAACTCCCTGGCTAAATAAAAAGTTTCTGAACAGTGGGGCCGTACACCCCCACATCCGGGCCTCAGTCCTTTTCCTGCACACAGTCTATCACAGTAACAGAGAAGATCAGAGGGAAAAGTGAGTGTGAGTCTGAAGGAAGAGTGAGAGCAGCAGTGAACGGTGAAGAGACTGAAGACCAGGAGTGAAATGGAGAGAAACTTCTTTCATCAGCTGGGACAGGAAGCCACAGCTGCTGACCGAGAAAATCTCCACTCACACACACACACACACACACACACAGCTGCTGGAGACATATCCTCTAACCCTGAATACCCATGGATGGAGACGGTGCAGCTGCGCGGGGCCACGCCCCTCACGGGCCGCTCATGTGTCGGTTCCTGTTTTGTTTTTTCGCCCAAATTTCTGTCAGCGCGTCGCAGGCCATTGTGGTCGTCTAATTTTGGCTCTCAGGGAGACAATGGAGTATTGTCAGACTGGGATGGCAGCGGAAGAGGCTTGTGAGAGAGCGAGGGCCGATCGCTCCTCGTGAGAGAGAAAGAAGACTTTCAAGTTTCTTTACAGCAGCAGCAGCTCTTTATTATAAGTCACAGTTTGATGAACTGTGCAGTGTCAGGGTTTGATATGACTGTGGTCTGCCCACTGTGGGATCAACGTGGTACAACCAGAAAAAAATAATAAAATACATATTCATATTTTATATTTAGGGCTGTTAAAATTAACGCATTGATAAACCTGTGTTTGTCTTTGTCGTGTTTTCTTTTTCACCAATATACCGTCCCTTTTTTGTCGTCATTTTTAGGATAATTGATTTATCATATTAAACAAACACTGGTTTGGTTTTCAATTAATGTAGAAAATGACCTGTGGCAGGTGAGGACTAGTAAATGAGAAAATCTTAAATGAACATGAGCGTCAGCTCTGAAGTCAGTTTCTAAATCAGTGGACAGTAGAACAGGTGAGTTTCAACACATTTTTTATTTAACTTTCTGAAATGAAACCAAACACAGAGTGAAACCTGCCTGGAGGAGAACTAACGAGTCTCCACAGTGAGATAAAACGGATTTACTGCAAACCAAACTGTGGTGACATTTCCATGGTTTGGAGAGTGTCGTGTGTGTGTGTGTCATATCATTCATTCAAATTATAAATATGAAAAAAAAAAAACCTCTTCCAGAGGAGAGGAACTCTCCGTACGGTACAACGTGACCGTCTGTTTCTGCGTCTCATTTTTCCTTTGATGTAGAATCAGTGAAGAACACGGTGCCAGTGTCTGAACACGCTGTCTTGTCTTTCTGGAAACTCAGATTTCCTTCTTTTACAGGCTGTATTTCCTATTTAGAAGGAAACCCCCTCTTCCTCCTCCCCCACCTCACCCTCTTCTGTCAGACAGGATGTGTGAGTGTGTCAGGGCATGTGGAACAATGTCAAGGTCGTTAACCATCATGTAAAAGAGCTGTGTTTGAACAGAAAGCAACAAAATCTGACAAAGACACCACCTGAATACCAGGGGTGAAGGGAAACACCCAGACACTTTACTGGTTAATTAACAACATGCAGATATTCATACTGTTGGTTGATGAAGACGGTAAATGTTTTATTAACAACATGCAGATATTCATGGTGTTGGTTGATGAAGACGGTAAATGTTTCTGAAACTCTGAGCCAGATACAGCTAACACACTGATATGCCAAGATGCTAAATATTCCCGTCCTATCAGCTGCTGCGGCAGCTGTTCACAGACGGCCTGCAGCGAGCTGCCAGTTTAAACTCACACACTCGCATGCAGATGATAAACTGACGGCGTGGGTGTAACAACACGGGCAGTGGAAGTCGTGTTAGAAGTCGTCACTCTGAGTGTTTTATTGTTGTTCTGAACACCCAAATCATACGTTGTGTGTTTGTGTGGTCGACAGTGGCGGTGGAGAGGCTGCTGAACGAGTTGGCCTCTCTACTGAAGATGTTGGATCACGAGGCAGTCAGTCCGGCCACGGCGGACAAGATGGCCTCTGTACGCAACATCGTGGACTCCATGCAGCTGAGCGGTACGACTGGGTTTATATTCTCTCTATTTTTGTTTTTGTTTTTGATCTGGTCTGACCTGCAGGGAGGATTCTCCAGCAAAGAGATCAAATGTCATCACGTTTGTTACGTTGAAGCACAGTCACTCTGAACACTGAACCAGAACAGAGACCAAACGTTACATCTTTAAGACAGATCAGATGATGAAAGTGTTATGAATTAAAATATAAAAGATACAAATTACATTAGTGAGAATGGGTTTATTTTTGACAGTTAAAGTGTGGTCAAATATTTTTGTTTTTCATTTCCTCCAGTGGGGCCCGCCCCTCACTTTGAGACACACTGAGCTAAGGAATGTCACAGTGAGAACTCCAGTTCAGACAACAGAAATAGGGCCTTTGTTGTTTGACTGTGTTATTTTGCTGTGGTTTCAGTCTCCTGTCATTAACACAGCACTACAGTTGACACACACACACCACACACACACACACACACACAAAGGTCTGGAATGACATCTGTATAAGTTCAGTCTCAATGGGCCACTGGACGGTCCTGTCAGTCCAGTATGGACTGGTCAGTGAAGTGGGCACCATCTCCTGGCCACATCAGACCAAGGAGAGTTCTTTCATTCATATACGTTTGTGTCCATCCATCTGTAAAATGTTGGATCTGAGGATATGAATCCTTGAGTCCTGTCACTCCTGACTCTTGTCTCTCAGACCAGTGTCTCAGCTCCAGACTAACCTCTCGTTCATCTTCCTCACAGTCAGCGGACCTGACGTCTACATGAACAGCTGTCTCTATAGCAACGGCACCAGTTTTGTAGAGTCTCTGTTCGAGGACTTTGGTGAGTTTGATTAAAGTGAAAACGTACTCATTCACACACACGAGTGAACCCTGTCTCTGGGCAGAATCCCTGCTCAGCTGAGGGCAGTAATAATAATAATCCCGTCTTCTTCCTGTCAGACTGTGATTTGCACATCCTCAGTGCTTCTCCAGTGGAGCAGAAAGAGGAGGAAGAGAAAAGTCACCCTAATAAATCTGTGAGTCTCCCTCTCATCTTCACTTCACTCATCTCCGATCTCCTCCGAACTAAAACTGACCTCTGACCTCTGCCTGCCGTTCTTCAGACGCCCACCGACACCCCCCCTCCTCTGCCCACCACCCCACTACCTGATGACTACTATGAAGAGGCGGTTCCTCTGGATCCTGGATCCACCCCTCAGTATTTCACCACCAACATCAACAGTCAGTACTGTGCACTGTCTTTGTTAAACAGATAGATCCAGTTATTGTTACTGGTGTTTTTGTTGAGAAACAGAATAAACTGTTTTTGGTCATTGTTTTTAGAATGTTGACTAATCATGATTAATCGTCATCTATCAGGAATTGCTTTGATTAATCACCTTTGCTGATCTTCATCACAGCTGCTCTGTGGTGAATCAGATCAGGAAATGTCGGCCATTTTTTATTTTTACTAAACGTTATTCTCTGTTCTGTCGTCGTCTCTGCCGTAGACTCCACCAACTCAGTCGAAGACGCTTACTACGAGGACGCAGACAACAACTATCCCACCACCAGGATTAACGGACCTCCCAAAAACTCCTGTGAGTTCGCCCCCTCCTGTTAGTGTGTGGAACATGTGATCGAACAGGAGCAGAAAGTTTTTGATGTTATTTTGGTCTCTGATCCTCAGACAATGACTCAGACGCTCTGAGCAGTTCCTACGAGTCCTACGAGGAGGAGGAGGAGGAGTCAAAGGGACGGGAGCGACCTCAGGGGTGGGCAGCAGAGGAGAGTCCAGACGGACCTGTGACCGACTGCCGCATCTGCGCGTTCCTGCTGCGGAAGAAACGTTTCGGCCAGTGGACGAAGCAGCTCATCGTCGTGCGTGACAATAAACTGCAGGTAAATTAAAACAAAAAACAAAAACACTTGAGATGTGGTTCAGAAGGAGAGCAGCGGCCAGATAAAAAACAAACAAACACTTGAGACGTGGTTCAGAAGGAGAGCAGCAGCCAGACCTGACGTGGACGTGTCAGCAGCTCCAACTCACAAACAACCAAAAACCCACACAAACACTGGATTCCACACAGAGGAGTCCTTGTTGATCAGCAGTTCAAAGTAGGAATCTCTCTACTCTGACTCAACAGCGCCCCGCCCTGTTTTTAAGAACCTATTTCTGGAAAAAACATTTTAAGAAAAAGAAGAAAAATTTCAACAGGTGTTGGATCAAAAAAAAAAAAGACAAAGAATGTTGAGATTCTCACTGTCAGTTAGAAATACCTCACTGATGGAACACAGAGTGGATCCTGCCTCACTTTTAAATCAGAAACAGATTCTGTTTTTTTTTTTGTTTAATAACCCATTCTCCCCCCTCCACAGTGTTATAAGAGCATCAAGGAGAGCACACCTCACACAGAGCTGCCTCTGAACCTCTGCAACGTCATCTACGTCCCCAAAGAAGGAAAGAAAAAGAGACACGAGCTGCGGTTCTCTCTGCCCGGAGGCGAGGCTCTGGTCCTGGCCGTCCAGAGCAGAGAGCAGGCGCAGCGGTGGCTCAAGGTACCGATGTTTGATATTGGGTCACAGTGGAAGGAACTGAGAGTGGGGAGGAACAAAGGAGACAAGGGAGTTAAAGGATTTTTTTTTTTCCTTTTTTGTTTTGAAGGTGGTGCAGGAGGTTGGTAGCCAGTGTAGCAACACTGAAGGATTAAATGGATCCTGTTCTCCCATCATACAGAGGAAACTGGAGCTTGATAAGGTGTGTGTCTGTCGGTACCTTAGCCTTTACATCATAACATCACTCTTTTCAACTGTCCCTGTGGCCTCAGTGAGTGAGTGACATCACTTAGCTGAACGACTCATACAGAAACACTGTAAAGTTTTGGCAGCTGTGCAGCCACGGAGCTGAATACATGATGACATGGCAGTTCCACCCTGACCATGACAGGATCTCCTCCCTGCTCCTCCCTCCTCCCTCCTCTCTCTCTCTCTCTCTGCTCCTTCAAATTCCCTGAAGGAAGCACATTTGACCGAGGTTTCTTCTTTAACTCAGGTGCTGCATTCTGAACGACAGGCGTCAGACTCCGACAGCGGGCCGACAGCGGACGGTCAACCCGCGGCTCCAGGGCGAGACAACTCCGACTCACTGAGTAGGTTCAGTCCTGTGGTTTAAAAAAAAGACACTGAAGGAGTTCTGTTCTTAAATATCTGTGGAAAAGGCAATAAAAGAAAAATCCACTTCATAGTTCCACTCCTGCAGAAAGAAACTGGCATCAAACTGACTAAAAGAAAATCTCCAGTTTAACTCCTGTGTGAACTGAGTTGAAACCACAGCTTCACAGCTTTCCTTTCTACTAAAAAGTCCAAACAAACATAGAAAGTTCTGCACACAGACACACTTTCAATAAAACGCCATCAAACACTGTTTTTCTTTAACAAACTCAGGAAGAAGGAGCAGCGGTCACATGTCGCTCAGGTCAAAGTCCGACTTGTTGTTTCAGTGAAGTCACAAACTGTTTACTGAAGAAACCTATGGACACACCGGGGGGCCGGGGAATTGGGGGGGCAGGAAGTGAGGCGCACAGCAGACATGACATCCTTCCCGTCCTCTTCCTGCGATTGTCTCTCACTGACATCACAGGAAGTTGGAGCTCTGCAGCACCTGGAATATTCAGCACTCTCCAGGGTTGAGCTGGAGAAGAAAATACAACGAGTCGAACAAAGAATCATTTTTATTAGAGTGTGTTTCATTATGGAGTGATTTAATGACCACATTGAGATTTTATCTTCAGTAAGTTTAAGGAAAATTAAAATTATGAATAAAGAAAAACTGTAAAATGATAAACTTCAATGGAAACATTGACTTGAGGCCAATTATTACAGTATAATATATCTTAATAGCTGTTTTCAAATAAGTCTTTATCAGTGACTTGCCTTCAAGGACAAAATAAAAAATACATATATTTAAATTTTTTTTAACAAACACAAGCTTTGTCAAAATTGGTAAAAAAAAAAAACTTTTCATGGTGCGTTTTTCTTAGGTATATATACATTACAAACACAAGCTTTGTCAAAATTGGTAAAAAAAAAAAACTTTTCATGGTGCGTTTTTCTTAGGACAGTGAAGGCATCACAGACTTTACTCACCACAGGACTGCAGTGGCCACAGATCCATTCTGTAGTCAGTGGTGATGATGGTCTGACTAAAGTTGAATTTTTGAATTTGAATTTATTGTTTATTATGGTGAAACCTAATCATCCTGGTTTTATTTGTTGCTCGTCTCTTCTCTTTGTTTTTAAATACAGACCGGGGCAAACGCGGACCCTTCTCAGAGCTGACCGGTTCCATGAGCAGAGCAGCGGGGAAGAAAATCAACCGCATCATAACGTTCTCCAAAAAGAAACCGCCTTTACCTGGAGACCCTTCTGCAGCGTCAAGTCACCAGGAAAACCCACGCTGTGGTGAGGACACGGTCTGAACACTGACCACAGACACAGTCTGAACACTGACCACAGACACGGTCAGGACACAAATACGACCGACAGGAAGTGGTTTCCATTCAGTCATCTTCAGGTTCTTTTTACCGCAGGTTTCCTCAGCGTGTGTGTGAGCGGCTCGTGGAAGGAGCGCTGGTGCGTGGTCCGAGGAGGGAGCCTGAACCTGCACAAAGACTCTGGAGACCAGCGGCCCCCCGTTATGGTTGTGCCGCTCAAGGGGGCCGAGGTGGTGCCCGGCGGCCTCGGCCCCAAACACCCGTTCTCCTTCCGCATCCTGCAGGCTGGCAGTGAGGTGGCAGCTCTGGAGGTGACGTCTTTACTTTCCACAATAAAACAACATTTTACAATCCAGGGAGGAGAGCGGGGACGATAGTCAGGTCTTTACTGCCCCCTTCAGGCCAACTGCTCGGAGGATCTGGGTCGGTGGCTGGGTGTGTTGTTTGCTGAGACCGGGACCTGCACCCTCCCAGAGGAACTGCACTACGACTACATCGATGTGGACACGCTCACGGACATACGACACGCCGCCAGACACTCCTTCCTGTGAGTCACTTGTATCATCCCTTTTTTTTTTTGGTTCTGGGTTTTTAGTGTCTCACAGATCTGTGTGTTCTGGTAGGTGGGCCACCTCCACTGCTGCTACGTGGTCCAGCAGCACCTCGGCCGACTCCAGGACGTACGACGAAGTCTACGAAAGTATTGAGGTGAGCCACGGAACTCCTGAGTCATTTCAGTCTGAGGTTCACTGACGCCATGTTGTGACCAAAATACATATTTAAAAATGCTGTGTCCCTGCAATAGTTCCACGCCCCCCACTTTTGGAACCCACTGCTATAATTCATTTTTCCAATCTCCTGTAGGATGCAGATGTGGAAAGCAGGACGGCCCAGGGGAGACGCCCCGCCTCCTTCTCCAGCAGAGACTCTGAAAAAACTGAGCAGCAGGCCACGATCAAGAGACACGTCTCCAGTGAGTTCTATTTCACACACCTACGGTTCCATGAAGACAACACGGTGGGAACTGTTTGTCCGTCGCCTGCTGCAGGTGTCAATCAGTACGGGCGCTATGGAAAGACACGGGCGGAGGAGGACGCGAAGAAGTACACGAAACAGAAAGAAGAGCTGGAGAAGAAGAAGGACGAGCTGAGGAACGAGCTGATCGCCCTGCGCAGGGAGAAGAAGCAGGTGAAGGAGGAGATGAAGAACAGCACAGGTGAGAGGGCGCGGCACGTCAACGAGGGCTGGCGTCGAGCGCCGGAGCGGTACTGACGCTACAGCCTGTGTGTCTGTGTGTTAAAGGACACGCTGTGGAGCAGCGGTTAGCCAAGCTGGAGGCACAGTGTAAACAGAAGGAGGAGGAGAGGGTGGAGCTGGAGCTGAAACTGACAGAAGTCAAGGAGAACCTGAAGAAGTCACTGGCCAGAGGAGCAGCGGGTCCGCCCACTGACCCGCCCAAGATCAGTGTCAAGGTAGAGTCTGAACTGCACAGGTCATTGACTGACACACTCTAAACATCCTTTAGACTTAGAGACTCTCTCTGACTAGAACAGTGGTCCCAACATTGTTTGCAGCGCCCCCTGTTTGTAGAGTTGAGCCCCTTACGGTCACACATTCACAGTAATTGTTTCATAACTTGATTTTAAACCTTTGATTCTACCATAGCTCCGCGAACCTCTACGGGGGCCTGCCCCCCACTTTGAGAACCACAGAGCTATAGGCCCATACAGTCTAACAGCCACGGATCCCACAAGGTGCAGACGCTGCAGATAATTTGTCTGATAGACTGTTGTGTGTGTGTGTGTGTGTGTGTGTGTGTGTGTGCAGGCCCGGGGCAGTAAGGTTGAAAAAGTTTACAACGAGACAGTTCCAGTGAACTCGGCGTCAGAGCTCCGTAAACGACCTCCATCCCTTTATGCCTCCTCCAAGGGGAGTGTGATGCAGAAGGCAAAGGTAAAGTTCACTGACACACACACACACACACACACACAGACTTTACATACGGCAGTGATGCCTGAGTTACAGGGACTGTTGCTAAGGTCAAAGGTCATAAAACTGCAGCCTCTGGTTCTCCCTGTCTGTTTGTCTCACTTCTGCTGTCTCATGATTTACAGGAGTGGGAGGCAAAAAAGGGGAGTTAAAGTGAAGAGGAGGTGATTGACAGATTTATATGAAGGAAGGGAAAAAAAGCCCTGAGTTGTGACAGGACGATGTGTTGAAGAAGGAACAGGTAAAGAATGAGTGACACTGAGAAGAGGAGAAGAACGTGGCACACACCTCCCCTCGTCCTCTGATCTGGAGAAATATTTACAAGTACAGGAGCTGACTGATGCAGCCGTGCAGTACTGACGTGTAGAAGGACGGACATGGAACGGCTGAGTGTGTGTGTGTCAGTGTGTGTGTGTGTGTGTGTGTTTACATTCTCTACAGTGAATCTGCAGATTTTAAAATGTGACGAGCCAAGCACAGGTGAGAGTGTGATTCATCAGTACTGTATGTTTATAGTTCCACGTCCACTGATTTGAATACGCTTTAAAACCAAAAATGAAATTAAAAAAAAAAAATTACATTAAATTATATGTATTTAAACTATGAGGACGATATATTTCAGTATGACACTGTTACTTAATACGTTGTATAAATGTTAATTATTACAATGTGAACTTATTGTTAGTGTTTTTCATTTCATGTATTTTTCGCACTTTATCCTGTTGCATACTGTGTTTTAAGCATATGTCTCAAAAAATATATACTTTTCATTTTTCACAAATATGTTGAGATTTTTGTCTCCTGTGTTTATTCTGGTATTTACAATAATTATATAAATATATGTATTTAGACAAACATGGTTGAGTTGAAGAAAAAGCAAGTTTTAATGTGAGACATTGTCGCCATCTAGTGGTCAGAGTAGGTTAGACAAACACCGAGGCTCAGTTGAAGAAAACGCTTCTTAAATGTGAGATATTGTCGCCATCTAGTGGTCAGAGTAGGTAGTAGAGTTGGCGTAAATGCGTTTTTCCAGTCGTTACTGATTGGTCCATTTATTTGTTTTCAACTGCTTTCTTCTGTTAAAGGTCACCAGAGGAACGTGTTTCAATTCCTGCCGACACCAGGACGTGACGTAGTTACACACTGGACAGGACAGCGGTCCACTGCAGGGCAAGTTAGCGGTCACAACAGAACACAAGTTTAGTTTTATGAAAGCTGAATTATATAACAGTGATGTCATAATAAAATAAAGAATAAAAAAAATAATAATTTAAAAAATAACTTGACATCACAGCAGAGTCACTTCTTTAGAAAGAGTTTATTTAGTGCATTTCTAGTTTGTTCACAGCAGGAACCAAAATATGAAGTTAATCTGTGCTCCTAGTAGTTCACCAAAAGTTCTGGTCCAACACCATTGGTCCACACAGGTTCTGGTGCAACACTATTGGTCCAGTAGTGTTCCCGACAGCCTCACGTTGGTTCACTAGTGTTGTGGTACGACACTGTCGGCTCACTAGTGTTCTCTTGCGGTCAGGAACACGCGCGCGCGACCAGAAACGAAAGACCTTCGGCATGCTGCTGCTGAGCAGAGGTCCACAAGCTTCCATGCAACAACAAACAAACAAACAAACAAACGGCAAAGGAGACGACGGCGACGACCAACGTAAAGGTAAACAACAGCTGTGTTGGTAAGAAGTAAGCATGGAAGCATATACAGTAAAACCTTATATTAACCTGCTGAAGCCCTCAGGGTTTCATCTGATATACAACAGATCCTAAAAAGGTAAC